TAATGACTACAACAGTCTTTGTACCTATGGTAAGTACATTTTTTGTAAATCATACGAGAGTTTTTATCAAAGAAAATAACTGCATAAAAAAACTCTTATACTTTAATACATACTTGTAAATTTAATAAATATATTTGTACAGATTTTAATAGTGCTGGAAACAAGTAGCAGAGATTTGGAAATTGTTTGTGAAAATTTGATTACAATCATACTCCAACTATTAATCACATTAAGATATATTACTTTATTTTTTTCTACATCAAAGGTACTTAGTACTGAATATATCCCTTGACCTACGTAATGTACTTAAAAAAAATGTTTGGAATTAAATACATTTTTATTTTTCTTTGTGCTGTCAGTTAAAAAAACTGTTTCCACTCATAGACAATTTTTTCAAAAATATCACTGATGAAGCCGAGTACAAAATATTAAAAAAGTATAATAAAGTGGGACTATTTTATACTAATCTGCGCTCAGGTAAAGAAGTTTAAAAATAATAAATTGTAAGAAAAGAGCCATGACTTGCATAAATTTAAGGAAAATTTAACGTTTTACAAAAAAAAGCTTATTTGATTGGTACGTACATTGTAACCGTTACGTTACCGTTTTGGCCAAATATTTTCGAAAGTCTTTCCACAAACAAAGGTGCAACGGATTTCAAAAAATCAAAGTTACGCGCTGAATATGTATTCTTTGATCAAAATGACTACTACCTTTGGTCGATGATACACATTGATTGTGTCTTTGCCATGTATATGCTTGTTTACGTAGTTTTCGACAATTTGTTTGCTTTGACAGTCATCCACACATCAGCAACGTTTGCAATCACTTGGTATGTAAATCAGTTGGTCTCATATTTAAAGGCTTTATGTGTGGGTAATTGTCTGCTGTTACGCAATTTTTCAGCCATCGTTTGAAAAATTCCCTGAATTTTGAGAAAATTCATGTACTTGAAGTAGACCAAGAAAAAACACGAAAAAAATTGAAAAATGCAATCATTTCACACCAAACAGCTCTTGAGTAAGCATCAAATAAAATAATTATGATTGTATTTTTAATGCTCATTCCTTGTAATAATCATCATTTTCAGAATATGTGGCTTATTGAAAAGTACGTTCAGCATATTTCTCCTTTTTCTTACCATAGGAATGTCAGCTATGTTAGGATTACTACTCAGTTACGTAAGTAAACCTTACTTGTACGATTTCCCTTAAAAATTTTTGAACTAACACAGCAACCCTGATGATTTCAGACTTTATCTCACCTCAATATATTTACTATCACGCAAAGTGCTACCGTTTCTGTAGGTATGTTAACACAGGCATTTTACGTTAACTGGCTTGGGCAAGAAATCATAGAAAGTAGTCAAAAAGTGTTTGACACTATGTAAGTTTGTTAAAGATATACTAACACATATACACAACTGAAGTAAATTTTAATGCATTGAATTGATCGTTTACTACAAAATTTAGATATTCAAGTGAGTGGTACATTCTCGACAACAAAAACCGTAAATTAGTAAATATTTTGATGATGCGCTCACTGCATCCATGTTATTTAAGTGGTGGAGAATTCATACAAATATCTTTTTTTAATTTTACAAAGGTATATTATTTTGAATAAGAACAATCAAATCCATTTTTTTTTTAAATGTATAACATGATTTCATTTTCAGATTATAAAATTATCAGCCTCTTACGCTACTGCATTGTATTCTTTTATGTGACTACTTATTTTTTCAAACAACGACTCAAACATTACTTCACTTTCTGAAAATTACTAGCTCGCAATACCATAGAAATTCACTTGGTAGATTAAATATTATTGATATGTACAAACAGTGACAGAGTTGCTTTATTTATTGTAACATTAAAGGTATACGAATTTTTGTTTCTTTCTCACAAGAGAAGGTTTATAATAGAAAAAAAAAAAAAAAAACACATATTATGGAGAGAACGTCAAATATCGGAGCTGTAATGCAAAGATTTTTGGAAATAAGTCATGAATACATGCTCAAGTATTCGCTAATAAAAATTGATTTTTAAGAATCGTTCCTTTGCAGTCATTTAATAATTGAACATTCAAGAACACAGTAACATATTTTTAGGCTTATATACAGATATTAATATAAAGTTCATTGCACTACTAATTTATTGTACTTTTGAGTTAGTACCTAAAATTAAAGACCAAAAAATCTGAGGTGTGATGCGTCAAAACATCCAATATTGCAACCCTCACCATAGGTGAGACTGTCTCCACCCTGAAGTATCCAGGAAAAAAAAAAATAAAATAATAATACCAACAATAATATATTAAATAAAGGTCATATAATTAAGCATTTTTATCAACTCCTATCCACGGAGAAGGACGTTATTACTTAATTGTTCATGTAAAAAAAATTACGAAAATTTTTTTAAATCTTGACTGCTGGATGTGGTACTTACAATAAATTCGAAAATTCCGAAGATGCTGTAAAAATAAGCTTATACTATAGTCGAGCCCAATTAAAATTACAGTTTAATCGAAAAAGATAAAAAAAAAATTTTTTCATCCAAACTTGTGATTACTTTTTATCTCACTCACTTCACCAACAGAAATAATTACTTGCAGGTAATGAATGATTCATTAACCATAATATAAGGTTTCAGGATTATGTGAGATAAAGATTCGTTGATAGTTAAGACAACGTCAAATGTAGTTACAAAACATACATTTGCTGTATATGATATTTTTTTGTCACCTCTAAGACTAACTAACAGTTAATGACTATGGAGTTTAATCGAGTGAAAGTAATAAAGCCACACACAATTTAAGTATAAGATTTTTTGCTTTATAAGAATAAAATTTATAATGCACAATAGTCGACTCCTACACTAATGGAAGTGGCTACTTTTCCACTTAATTATATTTAGGTTTTTTATGCAAAAATCCATTTTGCAAATGATTTTACATTTAACAATTGGAGACGACCAATCGCCTAAATTAACTGTTGATTTGTGTTATGTTCGTTATTAAAAGAGTTTCTTTTTTAAGTTAAAAAGTAGGAAACGTTTGGTTACTTTCATGTAAGAGAACTAAAGAGTATTTTTTTATGTTTTTACATGTAATTTATCCTTTTTATTGACCAGTGCGTAGATTAGAATTAAAAGAAATTTTTTTTACGTATACGGGACTCAACGTCAAAAGCCTTATTGATTATATTTTCCACGATAAAAAAACTTAATAAAAAATAATAATAAGTAATACAAAATTAACTAACTATACAAAGATTTCTTTTGTTGAAAAAATGCTCTATGTAATTTGCTTGCTCGCATTATAATTATCAACATTATGACGTAGACATTCACACAGTCTGAATTATTAAAAAAATATGAGGAAAAAATTTTCTTTGTTTCCATGGCAAAGTTCCAAGGCAAACAGTACTCAGGTTGAAAACAAAACGATTCGTTGCAAGAAATTGTGTTTCCAGAAAATATCATAAAAATATGGATACGTTTGATACCGGTGCTTATAAAAAATACAAATGGCCGTTACAGCTTCTGGGACTGTACATGTATCAAAATTATTTTGAACGAATAATAAAGTTATTATTATTTTTTGTAATGACTACAACAGTCTTTGTACCTATGGTAAGTACGTTTAAAAAAATTTTGGACACCAATATTTTTAAT